AAACAAGGGTTAGTTCATCCAAAGTTTTCACTTTTTGAATGTCATGATTCACAAAGATATGATTCGTGTATCTTATTTAGTTAATTTTCAGCTTTTCAAGTTGTTCTCAATCGAAACCTCATGCAATCCTTAGCACACTAGTCTGGACTGAGAACAATTGTTAAAGTCCTAACTGATAACTTATTCGCTATTTCGAAAAACTCCGTGTCCTCAATGAACGCTTTAAAATGCTGCCTTGATGAGTACTCTGAACTCTCAGAAACCTCTATTAATTGGGCTAAATCCGTGTTCTTCCTACCAAAAACGTTTAACTCGATAGCTAATTAGGGAATGAGCCGCATAGTCTCCGATCATTCCGAAAGATTCCTGGGGGTTCAGGTATCCCTATTGTCATGCAGTATAGACCAGGAAGGGATCATGCTACAAAGAACCCTGCAAAGGGCAGCAACTTCGGGTAAAGTCACCCACCTCTCGGTCTATGGAAGAGCCTTGGTGATCAATAGTGCATTTTTCTCTTTATTGTGGTTTCTCATTGTTGTCAAACCATTGGGTAGACATCTATGCTCACTGATTTGTCGAAAAGTTGCGATGTTCATTTGGAAGCCCTTCGCTACAGACGAACAGGGCTTCATGTCCAAAGTGGCCTAGGAGTTGATTTGCTACCCTAAGGAAGAAGGGGGTCTGGGGTTATGTGACCCAGAACGAAAAAGAATGGCAATGCTGGTCAGATGGGTCATCAATGGTATGTGCTCATCTGAAGAAGCTCACTAGATTGCCTTAGCAGAAATCCTCCTGGCGAATGAATGGAATTTGGCTCGCACCTCTGACGTGTGGACTTGTTTCCTCCTACTGTCATACCAGAACCGTAGAATCGACTCTGAGTTTTAAAAAGTGGTGATGAAGGTTTGGAAAAAGTTAAAGCTAAACGCGTGGGCAAACCCAGTTGCCAAATTTGAGGTGATGCTCCAACCTCTGTTTGAAAACCCTCGGATTCGGAGTGAGAATGAGAACTGGTTCTCCGCAGATATCTCCGAGGTAGCTTCGGAAGATCATGGATTGAAAAATGAGTCTTGAGGATCGGGGATATATGGAACTCAGTGGAGGGCAAGTAGATGATCCCGGCTAGATTGAGAGATCAGTTGGGTGCAGTCTGGTTCGTGGAAGAAAGACTTACCAAGTTGATACAGGCGATCCCAGAACAATGGAGAATCTTACTAAGTCCAGAAGGCATCGATCCTCCTGGCACGTGGTATGTATCACGCGAGTTGCTCACCGCCTCCTCCTTCTGGAAGCTAGCTGAGATTGGAATAGGGGGAAAAAAAGTCTTTCAACAATGGGATGGTATTAACACGGACAACCCGAGCACATTGATCCAGACCAATGAACATACACACCCGCCGTTAGGAGCAGACCTCACCCATGTACGAGTTTGGAAAACGTGTGATGAGGAAGGAAATTGGGACTGCCAGGTCTATGCAAAGGGCCGAACCATCTAGAAACTAAAACTAGACTCGAAATTGTGGGGCTGGAAAGGAGAAGGTAACGAGGGTGAAGACCACCCACTGCACAGATACTCAACAGAGCTGGGCTATGGTATTCAAAAACCAAAACGCAAACTGGAGGAAGTTGCGATACGTAGATTGAGCCAGGTGATTGATAAGAGTCACCAAGAAATTGGAAAAGCACTAACTCGTTTCTGGAAACAGTTAGAGATTGCTCCGAACCCGCGATTAGCCTTTAACCTCTGGCTGTTGTCTCTAATGGCTACTCCCTCTGCAGTCCATCTCTCGCAACGAGGTTTGCATCTATCATGTATGAGATGCAAGTGGGTCTTTGAGTCAACAGTACATCTCTAGTATGATTGCCCTGCTTCAGTTAGAATCTGGGATTGGTAGAAGGGTTTTTTGAATGAAATCTATAGAGGGTGTCTATCATGGGATCAGGAATGGGTATTGCTTGGAGGCTTACCGGATAACCTGCTACTCAACAAGGGTTGGGGCTATGTTGCCCAAGCTGCCCGGGTCGTAGGCTGTGATGTCATCTGGAAAGGCAGAAACAAATTTGTGTTTGAAGGCTTGGAAATGACCAATAACGAAATCATAAATGTGTTAAGAGGTTCCCTGAGACGTATCATTCAGACAAATTGGCGGAGGAAAGGTGGTTCGAGATCAGGGGCCTGGTTTGGCTCAACATGGGGACTTGATGCGAAGGTAACAAGCTTCCACGATGGGAAGCTAGTGTTGGGAGATTGGTTTTGGGCTAAGTAGATGGCAACAAACCTGCGCACTCGGTTATAAATTCCTCAGGAGGAAGGCAGAAGGGTACAATGGATTGGGGAAGGAGCGCTGTTCATTTGGTTACCGTTGTCCAACAGGACCAAACTGCCGTTGTTAGGCAGTTTCATGGTAGAAGTAGGACTCATAGTTAATTTTGAATTGTGAGTTTTTTTTTGGGCTTGCAGCGTTTGTTTGTTTAGGGTCTTTCGAGTTTGTTAAGGTTTTCTGGCCTGGTGCGCCCTCTTATTACCAGGGATTGGGATTTCAGGGCAGCGATTCGGTTTTTGTCATTTCTGTCCCTAGATATTTTCTGATCCTTGTTGGCTTGTTGAGTTAAAGGGAATCAAGTTACGATCAGCCAACTGACTGTAAGCGAAACTGGCTGATGCTGTCGGGATAACTCCGGGTCGAATTGTTTGTTTTTCTTCTTCTTTTTATTTTATTTGTTAATATTGTTTTTTGTTTAAAAAAAAAATAAAAATGAGAAAAAAAAAAAAAAAAAAAAAAAAAAAAAAAAAAAAAAAAAGTGTCTAATCTGACACCGACCGGGTCAAAGTCTCACTTGTACGTATTAAGAGAGTCTAGCCGTTGACCCTGCTATCTACGGTCAATATCGCTTAATTCGTGTAAGTGGGACCTAGCCTCGGATGGTCTTTTCAGCCCAGGGTGACCTTTAATTATTGCCTTCAGGGAACCCCCAATTGGGGGGGGGGGGGCACCGGCCAGGGGACAAGCTCAGTTGGTAAGCCACGCAAGTGGCATTCAAGAGGTCTTGGGTTCAATCCCCATTGGCCGCATGTACCTTCCTGGGCATGCCTGGCGTCCGCCACCTAGAGATGATAGGCCGTTGGTCCCCCCCCCCTCCCCCAATTGGCATTAAAAAGCAGTCTCTGCTGATGTTCATAGGGGGAGGGGGGGTAATCGGGGAGTGAACACCATCTTTCTTATTCTGTATGGCGTGGGCACAGTTTATGAACACAGGCAGGCCTATATTTCAAAAGTTCGTGGATGTATCGTCTGAGCTATCGTCTTCCCCCGAACATAACGCACCCTGAAAAGGAACGCATACGTTTTCGGCCAGATACAGTCAAAATGACGGTGCGTTGTGTTCGGGAGAAGACGGTAGGCCCGTTGGTACTCGCACGTTTGCACGACAACTTAAGTAATGTAATTCCATTGTCTACTGCGTGGGCGCGGGGAACGCAACCCTAAGGTAGCCAAATCAATGAGACTAAGAGTTAACACAAAAGAGAGAGAGAGAGAGAGAGAGAGAGAGAGAGAGAGAGAGAGAGAGAGAGAGAGAGAGAGAGAGAGAGAGTTTTGTT